GGCAATGCGCTTTTTAATTTCCTGGATGCTGGTGCCAAGACTGTTGACTATGGAGCCAAGCAAACATGTCCAAAATAGGTGAAATGAAGCTTTATCACCTTTGCCTCTAAGGAGTTCTCTTGTTGTACTTTTTCTAAGACAAATCTCTTTGTTCTTTTGACAGTCTGCTCCAAAACCACAACTCAAAGGCATCAATTCTTCTGCTGTCATCTTTATTCATTGCCCAACTCTTAGACACATAGCAAGTGATTGAACAGACCATGGCCTGAATCAGATACACTTTAGTCTTCAAATTGACATCATTGTTCCTGAGTAATTTAGAGAGGTCCTTGACTACAGACTTGCCAAATGCATTACATTTCCTGATCTCCTAACTGCTGGTACCAAGGATCGTGGATTCAAGTAACACTAACTCATTTACAATTTCAATCTTTTCTCCATGTATTATGATGTTGTTTATCAGTCCTATGCTGAGGAGATTGTCCCATCTTACTCCTGCAAAATGGCTGGTGGATTTGAACCACATGCTTTTGGGATTGCAGCACAGCTTCTTACCCCCAGGCCAGCAGAGTTTCCTAGTTATGTGTTTCTCTCTAGTTAGTTTACTAAGTATATGATCCTATGGTTGTATATTGTAGATAATATTACATCTCTAGTTTCCTTTCCAGTGTTTCCTTTGTTGCTATAGAGAAATAGAACTAATTTTGAATGTTGATCTTGTATCCTGACATTCAGCTGAATTGGTCTGTTTGGTTGAACAGGTTTGTTTTGTTATGTTGTTGAGTCTTTAGACTTTTCTATATTAACAAGGTGTATGTTTTTTTCAAGATATATTAAATCATCTTTCTACTGATTAAAATGAAGATAATTTTTATTTTTGAGCTTTCATTTTATTAAAATAATGCAACAATATATACCACAAAGATATTTTTAGAAATTATATCTTAATTCCTATGAACAGCCTCTAAAGATAAACATTGTGATGAAAGGCAAGTATATTTTTTAATTCCACATAGACTGCAAGATTCTGTTCCAAAAATATGACATGAACATTTTATAATTAGTGTAGAAAAATGTCCTTCTATTTAAATTTTTAAA